TCTCTCATCTCCAGGGAGAGCAGAAAATGATGTACTTCCCAAGGATGAATGACCCTGCAGAAAAGCATTTTAATAATGTGCTGAACAACAGCACAGCAAATCGCTGAAGCTGTCACCTATTTGCAGTCCAGTTCTACAGAATGAATTCTTGAAGTTCTATATTTCCTTCGGTATCTGCTAACATCTGCAACCTATCATGTCTCTCGGTATCCACCTTCCCCCCAAATGCCAGGAGGACACAAGCCATATGGGGCCCCCAAGATAAGAGGGTGTTGGAGGGCTGCCATTCATCTGCTCCCTGTTTTGGGAGGTGGATTCTGTTCCCCATCTGGGTCACATTGATACACAGAGTTCGAAATGGAAAAGAAACACCCCACTTCCCATCATCCCTTCTCATTCAGAGCTGCTGCTGGCTTTAGCAAGGAAAGCAATGGGAGGCAGAGAGATTGGGAGAAAAAAAGTCAACCTGCTGATTCTCCAACTCTTGGATTTGTGCGGATGGCAGGTTACTTAGAAGTCATGATATCCCTTGCAGAACACAGTGAAATTCACATAAAATGGACAAAACAAAAAAGTGTGTACAAAAGCTGGTCCCGTCTAACACTGGCCTCCAGCATGCACAAGTCCAAAAGTTTTAAGGAATATTTATGAGGAAGAACACATGCGAATTCTACCCACTAGCTTTCATCTCCCCTGACCACTTTCCCACCTCACAAATCGGAATGGGGCCACCACTCTTGAAGTTCAACAGTGGATTGGCTCACAGAACACACAGACAGGAGAGCAGTGTGCGAACCAAATGCATCATGATAACACAGAGTGTCCTCGAATCCAAAACCTAAATGGAGGGGCTATATGAGCAAAGGATGAGAGCTAGACTGTGCACTCAGGTGTCTACTGGGCCAGGGGGTAACACAAGCTAGTGATGCCACCTGAGTATATGAGAAAACCAGCCAAAGAGCAATGGCAATGTCTGGCAAGGAAGGCTGGCTCAGTGTCCAGGAGAGGACAGGATTGGGACAAGTCCCAGGAATGGGACCTGCTGGACACAGAGCCAGCCAAGTGCTGTGGCGTAGGGGGAGTAGTGGTATGACTGCTTTTGATTTTTCAAGAGTAGCTTGACATTTGGATATTTTATCTGACACCTTCTAATTTTTTTATGTTGCCAACTAGTTGACCCTTGAATAACGTGGGAGTTAGGAGTACCCCCACATGCAGTCGAAAAATATGAGTATAACTTTTAACTCCCCCAAGACTTACCTACTATTTAATAGCCCACTGTTGACCAGAAGCCTTACCAATAACACGGGCAGTCAATAAACACATATTTCATATTTGTGTTATATATATTCTTACCATAAAGTAAGCTAGAGAAAAAAATATTAAGAAAATCAAAAGGAAGAAAGAATTTTCCAACATATTTATTGAAAAAAATCCCCGTATAAGTGGACCTGTGCCATTCGAACCCATGTTGTTCAAAGGTCAAATGTACTTCCGTCAAGAAAAACAAATAATAAAACCACACTGTACTGTCCAAATAAAACAAGTTGGAGGTTCAGGTTCAATCCACAGGCTGTGGGCTTGCCACCTGTGCCCCCAAACCCTGGCTATGGCACCAAATATCCCAGGCTCCCCCATGCTAGGTGGGTAACCCTGAGCTCAGCCAGCTAACCTGAGCCCCACTTTTCTATCACTGTTATGAAATATTATATTTATATAATTATATTATAATTATGACCTATTATAAAATCTCGTGAAATTGCAATTTTGACAGCAACTTGGTAAGATTCCACCTAATAAAATGGAGATATGGTGCCCACCTTGTAGGTTCTCAGGAAGATCGGACAAGATAAAGCTGGTGAGTCCCATGCCTATAGTAAGAGCTCCACAAACGGGGGCAACTCTCTTTAGAACACAAGTCCATTTATGTTCAGTAACTGAAATGGACCTTTAGGATCCTGGGTCAGCATTTGAGAGAACCAAGGAAAACCTGTCAAGATTTATAAGAATAATTATGTTTTGGGGGGTTTATTTACTTAGCAGGAGATTTTTTTTTTAACCAGAAATCTTTTAGGCTAAGCTTTGTGGCTGAGACACCAGTCTTGCTGTTTTCTGTGGGCACACACAGATAGGAAAAGATTCACCAGCAGGGGCAAAGCTTGGCAGCGGCTCATCTTCCATTACCCCAAAATGAAACAATCTGCAGATTTCAACCTGTTATCCCATCTCACCCAAAAAAAGAAAAAGGAGAAGGCAGCTTAATATGGAACTGCTGGGAAAGTCAAAGGAAAAAGGTTGTTTAATTTCAACTGAGGTCTAGACCAATGTTTAGTCAAAATTCTGGTGTCAATATTGTGTCATTTGCCACAATCTCCTACTGAAATTCTTTTCGTTTTTTAAAGCCCATGAAATTGAACCTTATGTTCTCTGTGCTAATTAGGCACAAAAGGTTTCTCTCTCGGTGCTGATTAATGGCAACCAGTGCAGCTGAGATTGCACGATACACCACGATGCTTGCATTAACATACAATTTTTACAATTCACTAGACTAATGTTTGGTAAACACTTGACCAGAGATGCCTGGACTGCAGGGACGCTGACTTGCCTGCATGGGGCAGTGCCTTCTCCTCAGACTCTCAGCATCAGCGGTCTTAGGACCAAGTCAATTTTCATCAGAAAATTTGGCCAAAATGCACATGACTCAGTGACAGTTTAACTTCCAACAAGCATCATGGGCCAGAGGGCTACCTTTAAAAGAGGAGTGAGAACTACTCTCATGAACTGCTGTCGCCTTTTTAAACAGTGAGATCGAGGCCCTGGCATCACAAATCATTGGATAATACAGTGTGCCCAATGGTGGCTGCCATTCAGGAAAAAAAGGCATCTTTTATCATAGGCAGCAAAATACAATTATGTCCTCTCACTAAAGCCTTGAAACAATTAGAAAAACATAAACAACCATCTTGTCTATCATTTCAAAACTCTTAAGCAGGTAAGAGAGGCAGCCCTGTCCATTTCTGTCTGCTTGGACGTTCAACTTAGAAAAGCTGATGCACCCCCACAAACAGAAGCACACTCCCAAAGGTTCACCCCCACAGACAGAAGCAAAAATAAGCCCATTTTGAGGTACATCACTGTTAGAATGAATAGAACCCCCAAACCCTTCAGGTACCATTTTTAAGGGCTACAGTAAAAGAAAACTTATTTTATCCCAGCTAATCACATTGATACAGACCAGTGTTTCTCAAATGATGAATCCCAACCCCATTCTTGGGGATCCACAGGTTTTCTCTATAGATTTTTACATTTTGTGTTTCTATTATAATGACAATATTTTAGAAATGATATAATTACATTTTATAGCATCTGAAGAGTCTAGAAAAACTGAGTGGTACCTCGTCATTTCAGTTTCCCTGATCCCGAAGACGTGTCTCAGGCTAAGAAGGGACCTATTAAAAGGGTGGACTAGGGCCGGCCCAGTGGCGCACTGCTACAGTGCGCCACTTGGGGGCACGGCGGCGCTCCCGCCGAGGGTTCGGATCCCACAGACAGACCGGCTGCTCACTGGCTGAGCGAGGTGCGGGCACAACACCGAGGGTTGCAATCCCGTTGCCGGTCCCGGTCCGGTACGGGTGCGACACTGAGGGTTGCAATCCATTGCCGGTCACGAAAAAAGAGACAAAAAGGATGGGCCGGCCCGGTGGCGCACTGGATAGTGCGCCGCTTGGGAAGCGCAGCGGCGCTCCCGCCCGAGGGTTCGGATCCCACATGCAGACCGGCTCCCGCTCACTGGCTGAGTGAGGCGCGGGAGCAACGCCAAGGGTTGCAATCCCGTTGCCGGGCCCCGGTCCGGTACGGG